TAATGGTATACGGAATGAATTACTCGAATTTATCGAGTATCATCGCACTTCGACATCCAACACGGTTTGTTCATGTTTAATTTTCATTAAGTTCAATGATCTACATTTTTTTATTTTGTTATGCTCAGTATCAAATTTCAGAACTAATCGATACTAATTTGGTAACCGCAGCAACGTGAACACCATTCAAACAGAATCAAGCAAGCACTCATTGTTAACAAGCAATAAAAATTACCTTGATCGTTCACTTCGTCCAGATAGTCATCCTCCTGAAAATACGTAGTTCACTATTATACAAGTAATGTTATTTATATGGTCTAAATTAATCGGAGCTGAAAATGATAATTTTTCTGCGGAATATGAATCATAGTGTCATAGCGCAATTATTTCACTTACTTCATTCGATGTTATATCAGACATTGCTAGCAGTGCTTCATTTATATAGCTTTCAATCAGTTTTCCCAGCAAGCGTATTCTTTCTCGATCCGGAAACATATCCTAAAATATTCGGTAACTAAATGGTATTATTTTCTAATGCTTTCAAGGAAAAAAGATAAAAAGATATAATATCAAAATCTTTGCTTTTTAATGAACAAATGGATATTTTTTTTTTTGGATAACCAACTTATATATTCATATAATTAATTCATATTTGTATATAGGGCCACATTTTTTTGCTTTAATCAACTTTATTTCTTATTTCGCATACTCATGTTCACCCTGCAGTTCCTCTATTTTTAACTTAAATTAGAAATGAGATATTTAACAGAGGTAAAATAAATTGGCAATAATTAGCGCATTTGTGGATATCAATAAACATGCAACACATTTCCTTATTTACAGCAACAGTGATTTCAGAAATTTGAATTCTAATTCATGAAATTTTCAGTTCGAATCAGGAGAATTAATGGACTATTACAATCACTCACCGGAAATTTATAACTGAGCCAAAGATAAAGGTCGATTAAATTATATAGTTTACACATATCCAAAAGCATTGTAACACTGATTGGCTTAGGTAACGGCCACTGGATTATTTCACAAAACCAATTATAATTTATTGCTTGCCCTTCAGCGAACCTGAAAACAGTCAAACTTTTATATTCAAATACAAAAATAAAAATAAAATGAAGCAAAATAAGAAAAATAAAATAAAATAAAATGGCAAGCCATCCCTCTCGATAATTCTTGTACTTTTATGCAAAATCAAAATCTGAATCAGAACCCGATATAACTTTAAACTCGCCTCCGAGCTATGCGCACGAAACATGTTCGGGCAACACCATTATCTACTTCCATATCTACTGGAGCAGTGCAGAAAGCATATTTAACCTGGAATCATTCGAACAAATGGCTATTTAGATCACAATTTTCGCTTCCCATAGAAATGTCTATGAAGCATAATACTTTAAATTTTGCAAATATATTTGATAAATACACAAAAATTATATTACCTTTATACTCAATGGAATATCATCTATGAGTTCGGCCAGTTTTCGGAACTGTTCGATGTCACATAAATGGAACTTCTTGCTCAGAGAGCTGATTGATATAAACATATCGATAATACTGAGAAATGAAGCATGAGGAAGATGATATGAGAAGGTTTCCAACTGCAATGAAATAAATAGTATAAGTTATTGTGAATGTTAGTCTATAATGTCAAAGAATGTACCTGCTCAGAAGTTGGCACAATACCGGCAGTTTCAATTGGTTTGATGGGTTCTTTCATGAATGTCTCTAACAACAGCATATCTGTTGGTCGTAAAGTCGTTACCTTGAAATACATTTGTTTTATCTCAAATATACATGCAATAAAGAAAAAACTTAAAATCTGAATTTTCAAACAAATATGAATTTTAAATTAGACCAAAATTATTACAGGAATAAATTTACCCATCCTTTTTGATAGGCAGACTGGAAGCGACCAGCACGTCCAGCGACTTGCATGACATGGTAGTTTGCTTGATGTTCACCAAAGGGAAACTGCACAAATATGATTCTAAATATTTCATTAAGGGCTATTTTGCATTCACCACATCAACATTCAGAAACGATAACCGGCTTGATATTAAAACAGAACTTGCACCATAAGAGTTGAATGCTTCAAAAACGAGATGAAAAGTCGTGACAGAGATGTAGCTTAAGATATCATGCATGTTATTCTGGCACGAATAAAGAACTGTATAACAAATAAATAAATCAAATGCTATCAAAAAATGATGTCGCTTATCAACAAAGAAATCAACAAACCTGCGAATATTTAAATTAAGACCCATTCCAACAGCGTCGGTTGCAACCATTACATTGGGCTTCCGACTCATTTCATTGAATGTTTTCGCTTGGTTCAGTTTTGTCCACGGTGGCAATGCCCCATATATCACGGTCGGTTGCACGCCCAATTTCATTAGGCTTTTAGCTACCGAAAATAACCTAGCAACCGAAAAACATACTAAACAGTCACCATCCTGAAACATTATGTCTCAAGAATAAAACCAAATCTTAAATTCAATTATGAAGGTGCTTGGTTCATTTAAGATAAGAAAGTTTTATTCGATGCCATCCAAAGATTAAAATTTCGCTTCAGCACAAACTGTGTGACATAAAACAAACCTGAACATTATCAAGCTTCTTCAAGGCCTCTTTATTTATAGTAAGAGGAGTTTTCCTTTCATAATGATGTACTTCTACATGTTCTCCAATGGGATCCAGTAAACTGCGTACAATATCGATTGCTGCTTCTTCGCCACAAAGATGAACCTAAAACATAACATTATTTAATTTATATCTTTTCCCATCAAACTATAAGACATAAAAATAATAAGAAAAACGATTATTTAATTAAATAAAAAAAAATAGGAAAAAAAATAAAAATAAGAAAAAAAATACGAAAAATTAAAAATAAGAAAAATCCAGAAGCCTAAAAAGCGAAATCGATTACTAATATAAATAAGATATAGATTAATATAAGTCAGTTAAAAATACAGATTTATATATCAAGAGTATGATAAAACAAGGGAAATAAAACGCAATATTGAAAGGAAAGTTACAGCTTTAGAGATATTTTCCATCAAGAATGGATAATAGAGATATTAATGAGGAAACCTCTTCCGCAGCAATACCCAGTAAAGCTCTTGTCCAAGCCCAACCACGACTCTGATCACGTAACATCTGAATTTCATCAATCACGGCCACTTCCACATTCACATCAACAGGCACCATTTCAACAGTCATGGAAACATGGGATGAGGGGCTGTCAGCATCAACTGCGTATCGCCGTTCTTCACCAGTAACCATATCACATTTGATACCTTAAAAGATCGAAACTTTGATTTTCAAAGTTAAATTTGAAAGAGGAAGAACACAACAGAATTCAAAACGATAACAAACCTTGTTCATTAGTTTTTTGACACACCTCGCTGGCAAGTAACCTTAATGGGCAACAATAAAAACCTGTTTTGGCTTTATAGAACAGTTGCAATGCTTCATACGTTTTTCCACTATTAGTTGGTCCTACAAAATGTAATGTCTATTATTTTATGAAAATACCTACATCAACCTCTTATTTACCAATTTACATTAATTATTTAGATTAGAATGAGATGTTCAATCATTCGGACAGCCATATGTCCAACATGACGCTGTTCTCTTAATGAGCACTACGAAGATGATAGTGAATTATCCCGGGTTGCTAAAATCACTAAGCATCACTCTATCTTCCGCTATTTATCCAATTAACACAGTTTTTTTTGTTGATTGTGGCATAAATTAAATTTTTTGCCGATAGTGGGATAAATGATGAATTTAATTGAAAAAATAGAAATTACAAGACCTGCGTGAAAATGTATTCTCCTGAATAACTCCCTAGCTTTTGGATACCAATTATATGGTTTAGTCAGATCACTTAAAGTCTTCAATTCCTTTTCGCATTCCAAATGTGGATACACTCTTTTGGCATGCTCGATAAAGTACGGGTATATGCTGTCAACATCACGTGCTAAAAGATGACCACTTAAACGCAACCATGTTTTCGCTATCAAAAAAAATTTCCAAACCTCCAGTTTTCTAACTGATCAAAAATTGAATCTAAGATGCAAAACAAGCTGCTGACTTTACAACATTACTTTTTATAAAAAAAAAAATAATAGCATAAACTGACCAATGAATTGAAGCAAGTATTTACCTTTGTTCAGAATATCACTGATTACAATAGCAATACACGGATCTAACGGTGATGCATGTAAACAGTAGTTCCGAAAACTTCTAAAAAAAGTTTCCTCAATAATCAAATTCCATAAATCAATACTTTTTTAATTTAATAAAGATGAAAAATATACTAAAATCATAGTATACCCTCATAATCCTTCTGTAAGCAGGACAATAGTAAACCTACTTATATGCTGCATGGAACATTTTTCTATTTACATTATTCTGCTCAGATAATTCCCGAACCAAAGGTCTTCTAGCGAAATTCTCCAAAACCCGTGAAATGTCGTCCTTATTCAAATCGACAACAACATCCTAGAATGATTACTGTGAATAGTGCCTAAAAGCAATGTAATTAGATTTTTGAAAAATCATCTTTATACCACTAATTGTAAAGGAAATATTCCACTCTCCAATCAGTCAATCGATTAGTCCAATTCTTTTTGAACATAGTAATGGAGGCTGATTAAGGATGAAGGTTATAGATAAAGCAGTCATAATTTTTAATAAATAATCCAAAAATACCGCCTCATCTCTTGGCAAATTCGGAATAATTATCGGAGCAGGCGGTACGATATCGATAAAACTTCGTAACTTGGCAGTTCGTGTAACCATTCTAGCTGCGAACTTCGTCCCTGTCGGTGAATATTTTGTTTGTTTTAAAATAATCGGAGAGTATTTCTTCCTGCCTTGTATTAATTCCGGACCTACCTTCTCGCTTCCGACGAGAACTGACTTTGATTGTCCAGTCCCAGATTTTCCATTGCAATCTGTCAACTGAAATATTGAAAAAAAGATGATTTTTGGAAAAAAAAATGGATGAGTACAAAAAATGGATGATTGTAGTTTGATAAAAATTAACATCTTTTTCACGATTGTTAAATAAACGCATAACTTTACGAGTTCCAATAATATACCCTCGACATAGAAAATAAAAAGAGTGCGAATATTCGGAATTATTTACAATCAGTACAATTCGACACTAACAATCAACACATGAAAAGTAGAATCCATAAGGAGAAATGAGAAGGAATGAATCATAAAAAGGATAAATACTGACGGGACTCTTCCTCGGTGCAAAAGAACTATGGGAACGTTGAAGAAGACGTGTCTGCATAAAGGATGGCCTCTGATCGGTGCTGCTTGCCATAATTAATATCCATGGTGGACGATATTTTACCACCTGCAACGCTATTCTACCCATCAATATGAATAATGTCTTAGAATCTGTCGCTTTAAGCAGCCTGAAATAGTTATTATGTGAATATATGTATTCAAGAAAATTTTCAATACATAATGTATTTTGCAATCTTCATCATTCACATCACTGTCTGCAAACATTTAATCATTTCTGCAATTTCTTGTCATCACTTCCGTATTTCGCTACCAATCTCTAACAACATCTAATTGATCTCACTAGTTACATGAACGGTCAGAAGAAAAATACTTAAATCTCCCGTACTCCAGCCCGTCCCCATTCCACATACCGGTGTTTTTTCTTCCTTTGATAAGACCGTCGCATATTCGTTGCATGCTAAAAACCGTGATATGGAAGAGAGAAACAATCCCGTTTTTCGTAATTGGGTGTTTCAAATAGTGGTGCAGTTAACTAGATGGTTTATGGCTTCTGGTATTTATTTCTCCACACACTAATTCTATTTCTGTGAGACAATGTTACTGCAAACAGTAATGGCATTAGTATACAGTAGTATTATGAATGAAATGAAGTGATATGATAAGTTAACCTTTTTTCGAAAAAGTTTTTGTTATTATGTATTTGAAGTTAGCAATCAACATTACCGTTCTGGCTTGGTGTAGAAGTAATTTATGCGTTAGAACATGAATTCATTTTTCTCATGGCGTTTTTTTTTCACATTAAATTGGTATTTATCAATTGATCTCTCTAGTAGTAATCTGATCATTATATTGAACAGATTGCTATGTTATTGCCCTAAATTTTCGAATTGTCCTCGTGATGTTTTCATGTTTTTTTGAATAAACCACGGTATCTCAAATAATTTATATAAATTTGTAGTTATCAATGAATCAAACCAGGACTCATTTTCTAGAGCGCGCAGGTGACGAGAAATCTTTGAAGTATTTTGAAGATACAAGACTTAGATCATTGCAGCAGTGATAGTGATAAAATAATCATACCTAAATGAACCCATATCATTTTTCATGTAATAATGGTTTTGTGATGTTTAATTTCTCTTATATTATTGTGAATTTCATTTTTCGATTTTTTTTCATTTTCGAAAGGTTATTAAAATTTTTCTTTTTATTCGTTGCTTTGCTAATATTGAATTAAATTGTTTCGGAATAGTTTTGAAAATTCGCAGTACGAGAGGCATCTCATTGCCAATATAAGTGATTTAATCGATTGCGGCTAATGAATTCTTACTGCATTTAATTAAAAGAAAAAAAGATAAAGACATAAAAAAATGAAGCAGTGAAGTTATTAGAATGGTAAAAAAAGTAGAATATACTGTGATACTTAGTAAATATAAAGGAACTAAAGTTGGGCCGCGCGATCGGTTTCTTATAGAATGGAATAATATCAATTGTCTTCACTAAATAAATTTCATTTCTCTTATTTTACATATAAAAATATAATAAAGCTTTTGAAGAAATTGTTGACAATTTTGATTGCGCATTTACCATTATTTAGCGAACTTATGATATCAGTTGGATGTATTATTTCTTGTTGTAAACTACGAAGAATCCGGTTGAAATATGGTTGTCTCTGTTTCTTTTTTAAATTCTGATTTTTTTCAATGCAAACAACATTAATGGAGTGATAAAATTTTTTAATTTCATCAATTCTATTTCACTATTCTATTAATTACATTTTATCATGTCTCCCATAAGATTTTAATACTGCTTTTAAATTATGAAGAAATCATATTCAAACTCTTCCTGGAGACCTTTGAATCTTTTCAAATGTCTCAAGTGAGTATTGGGATTATGGAGATAAAGTTCTTCAGAAAAATAAATCAACAACTCGACGTAGTCGACGGGAACGTTTTTTACGCTACATCTTACGTCGTAAACAATGCTATATTATACTTTTGCTCGAGTTTCTGGTCCTTATCATTCTTATCTCGCTATTAGTGCTATTCTTCTGGCTTGCACGAATTGAAATGGTTCATTTTAATACTTCAAGTTTCAATTAATATTTTTTTATATAACAACGAAGTGACAATGCAACAACATTTTCTTCTCATATGCACATATATGCAAATACCTATACACACACTTCAACACTTATACAAACCATCTATATATACATAAAATTTAAAGTGCAAGTCATCAATAAGAAAATTCAAGCATACCGCCTCAGTTCTCTTAACAAAACAATTTGTCGAAGAAAAGTCAAAAAATTGCCATCTATGAAATCAAAATTTAGAAAAACAAAAGTTGGAAAAAGCCAATATCCCGTTTCTACTAACTCATCCATCAGAGGACCTCTTTTACTGATTTCGGAGCGAAGAGTAATTGTCATCATATGCTTCCTTAGATAGTTACATAATAGTTAATGAATATCGAAATTATTTTAAATGTGAAACGAAAAGAAGATAGTTGAGATGTTTGTCATATTGACCTCGTTGATATCTAATCATGTATATCAAGGGAATTTGAGAGTTTCGACAACTCCGTTATCTCGGTATGACCCGATGACCCATTCAATTAAAATACATTATTACTTTTAACCGAATATTATTTCTTAAACAATGAATAGTTAATTTTAGTATAAGTCATTAAAATGTTATTTCAAATCATTGCAGAAAGAGATGGAAATAGTACAGACTGAGAATAGTTGGAAAAAAAGCGAGCAACACAAATTAAACTTTTACAAATGCGAATATGAACCCATTTGGGAGAAGCCGGAACAAATGAACTATGTAATTTATATATATCAATTCGCTAGATTAATTAAATGATTAAATTGAAATGAAAGAGAAGGGAACATTATATGAGAACTTTTTGCTCAAAAAAATTAAAAATTTGAGAAAAAATTAAATAACGATTTCAATAACTAGTTACAATGTTGAAGGATACTGTATTGTGCAGTGGAAGAGCAGTGTTGAAGGATACTGTATTGGGTAATGGAAGAACATTGTAGAATTGTAATACAGTTTATTTATTACATTATGCGATAACTTACTACAGGATTTATGTAATAGTCATTACGGCAAAGGTGCAAAAATATGGACAGCACAAAAAACATTATCAAATTCAACAAACTGTATTCATAAGATACACATGGTATGTTAAAGCTTATTTTCTTGTTAGATGAATATATCATTTCAGTTTAGCTCAACTTTTTTCATATTTTCATTTCCCTGATTGCTTAGTTCGTATTAATAAATACTTTGAGATAAAGAGTGTAAAAAATTTTATGAATCACTCACTAGTGAAGCATAAATCTAGTCTGATAAGGCATTGAAAATAGTTTGAACTTGAACTTTTTCGTAATGTCACACTTCGTTCTGTTGTATTTTTCGTGCTTTATTTTAAAAATTTATGGCATGTCTTTGCTCAAAATTTAAATTTAGAACGCTTTAGCTAATTATTTGAAAGTTTAGATACCGTGCCATGGCCTATTATTGGAGGGTCAAGCTTCAATAATATACAACAACGAACGTATGCCACCTATAAGCTGCGGTGGATTATTTGGTGCTCCAATGCCTTATGAATATATTACATCCGAAACAGATGTCCGAGTAAGCTTATCATTCTTGAAGAAGTAATGTTATCATTCATTTGAAGTGTTACTTGATACTTCTATCGAAAATCTGTTCACAATTTTTGAAGCATCGACGAATTCAGGAAAGTATCAAAGGTCAGTATAGATAGAATCAAATTCGATCTTTATCCGGAATTCGAAGAGGCAATTTGCATTGAGATATTAATTTGCTATTTAGTCACTTCATTTCCTTCATTTCTTCATTTCCTTCATTTCTCATTGCTCATCACTTTATTATGATATCTGTGGACCAACCAAAACATAATAAATTGGTTAGGAAAATGAAATCTTAAAAGTCTATTGAAATTCAAACTAATTTTCAAGGCACCTCAAGCAACGAATGAGATGCTCGCGAAGATTTACATGAATCAAAGTGTTCTCGCAAGTGCTCTGCACATAAAATGTCCGCGATGCTCCGTAAGGAGCAGTTGGTATGCGTAAGTTTTACATCATGTAATTTTACTTGTTTTTGTCGCAAATATATGTACATTCAGCATTCGTGAAGTATTTATATATTTTTTGATTGTCAGAGATTTTTGCATATGCTGATTTCATAAAGTGTAATTAATTAATTTCAACAAAACATCTTAACATTCTATCATTGAAATTATTAAATTTTCATACAAATTATGTTAATGCACCGTGAAGCATAAACCCATTGATCTTTTAACTCAACGCAAATTGTACAATGTTATAGATCTCCGATAGCGTTGCAATGTCGTCGTCAATTGACTACTTTACGACACGGTTGGCCGTACATTGCTAAATATTGTGATTTGGAAGAAGAAACGGAAATGAATCTCGAAAAAATGATTTACTGTTAATTATTATCCAGCAAAGCGCTTCGTTACAGTAACAATTTTGCACAATTAAGTTGTAATATTAAATAATGATACTACTTGCTGAAATTATCATGGCGAAGCGTGTCATTCAAATCTGTAAAATTTGAATTCATTAAACTTTTAAAATTGCGGAAAAAAATAGTTCGCAATTAAATTGACCGTCCATTATATCAGTTTGCCCAATTTTTTCATTTCACGGAATATATTTGCTTAATTTGCTAATTATTATTGTTACCAATGTTTTCATGGGGAAATTCCATGAAATATTGGATAAGCCGTTGGTAGATTTGTCCATCGTTAAAGCCTAATATGGAATGCAAAAGGAAATCTGGCGGAGCAAGAGCATCACATACTGAAATAGCATCAGGAAAAATCATTGCTTCTGATTCACGAAGACGTTTCTTCACGGTACTGCCCCACTGTCCCCCGATGCAGTAACCACCTGGAATTTTGTTTCATTATCATGTAACTTCTGAAATTCCAGTCAAATAATTTAGTTGATTTGATAAGCAAAGCATGGATTGATTTCAATTATGGCTAACAGTTTATTACTAACCAATGTAAAGTATCGCAATGTGTTTATTAATAGAGTTGTAAGCATATATAGTAGCAAGTCGGCGTAAAATTCCTCGGATAAATTCCGGTGCCTTCTGCAACGATTCCCGAAAACAGTTTAATATGGTTAGTTCGCAGTAAGCATACGTAATCATTCTGTATTGTTCACTCTGTGCTTCCAATTGAGCCTGTCGTTTATCAAATCCGTCGTTAACTTTGCCTTTGATATCTTCTTTAACTTCTGAGATGAGGAAATGCAACAGCCAGACGTAGGCATTTGCAATATCTAAACAGTAAATACGAGAAGGAATGAAAGTTGGTTCTGGTACTCTAGAAGACAAATGGGCATGTTGCGTAAATTGCAAGGCAATTTGCAACGACGTACCTTGTAATTTATCTTATAATTGTCTTATACTGCTAAGTCGTACCGATAACCATGGTAATAAGTGATTAATGTTCTGAGGATTTGCTACAAAGTTAGTGCGCATATAAAAACTCGAAACATGAATCGAGGGAATTTTGGAAGTATAGTATCACATCATTTATTAATAAAAAAGAAAAAGATATTACTAATATTTTGCCAAGTTGTGATATTATTAACGTTCAATTAAGAATTTAAAGTTTATATGATATTGGAGTTGGAATTTATATCGGAATTGTATTAATGTTGGAATCTTCATTTTTTAATGAGAAATAATATAAAGAAACCTTCCAATGGATCATCTTTCCAAGATGAGAATTTTTCTGGCTTGCTAGCTAAAAATACCAAACTTCGAAGAGGTGAATCATTCCAGCTCTGTGAACCTTCTTCTTCCGATAACGCAAGTAATGCATAGGTTACTTGTTGCATTAATATATTGTTGTCACCTTCAAAAGTTCGAGATGGATCGAAGTCTTCCCGAAGATCATTCAATCGCGAACATTTCAAAAATCTGGAAAAAATATTAATTTTGTTCTATTCAAAAAAGTTAAAAGACAGGATTTCTAAATTAAGTTTTTTTAAGATGATACTTTATTTCGTATTGAAGCACCAGGTTTTTAGAGAATTTAAAGTTACTTGACGGTTCTATGACGAAGTTTTAAATCCCAAATTCTGTTGTTTTTTAAGATTATATTGATCAGAAAAATCCGTGGCTGTTGCTAGAGCTATCGTATAAAGAGTGTTACCGTATCCAAAGATTAAGCTATTTTTTTATCAAGCACAATGAAATGTATGAACAAACCCATGCGCACCGCAAGCAAGACGAGCATCGTCTAAAGCACTGACACCTTCTTCCGTTGATAATATCTTTGCTGCACAACTAAGGATTTGTATTTCTCGTGATAGCAATAACTATAAATTTCAATATAAAACTTCAATTATTATTTTCATTATTATTAAAATATATTTATCAGTTATGCTTTTCCTGATATTCTCAATCCCTTTGATTTATAGTTGTAATTATAAGTCTAATGGTAGTGACAGAAAAAAAAATAAGATAATGTGATATTTACTATTAGTTTCTGTTACTCATATCACTCAGTGATATCACTCAGCATTTTATGAGTAACAAAATTTTTTTGCAAAAGTTTGGATTGAATTCTAAAAAATCTTTCACGAACAAAAGTGTCAGCTAAATTAAGCGCTGATGGCAATTTTAAACAACCTCATATGGAAGTCTTCCATCTTCCATACAACGTATAAAATGCTTATAACAAATGAAAATAAATTTGCGATAGAAAATGGTTAAAGCAATTGATGTAGCAATGTGCGGGAAGAATCGATGCTGTTGCATGGGATATTCGATGATTGATCGTTCTTCTGGAAGATAATAAATGTTTCCTCAAGAAGTAGCAGATAGCAGCTTGAGCGCTATAATACATTTTGGTAGGCATATCTAAACAATGAAATTCCAATAATTCTGAAATTAGACTAAAGAATCTAAAGGTATATTGATTATTGATTAACTTCTACGATCTGATGGCGGAGATGTGCGTTGAAATGTACTGGAATATGAGTGAAAATGAATAGATAATATGACTGTGTGGAGAGGGCAGGAATGGCATGATTTATCGTTACAGATTATTCAAATGATATCGAAGTTCTTATTTCAATTTCAACTTCTTTTCAAGGAAGCTATCCTTCGATTATTGTAACCTGTATGATCAGCAATACGGAATTGCCTCCTAACAGCTGAATAACGTGCCGCTATGATCGCAGCAAATTGAACTGCCACTACACCTTTGCCAACGACAGCTGCGCGTCCAATAGATAGAATAGCCAAACTTGCTAATTGTTGTTCTTTGATATTCTGAAACAAAAAAGTGGACAGAGAGAAAAAAGGGGATAGAAACTTTCCATGAATTAGCGATGATTAGAAGCGATGATTAGATATTATACCTGGGAATAAAAATTAAACTTTGGGATAGGAAATTATAAATGCATAATTACTTTAAGGATAGAGTGATAAGTTCCGTCAGAATGAACGGTTGCTACTCGGTTCAGTAATGCATCTAAATGAAAACGATGCTTGTTAAACTTGATCCATCCATTATCGATACCATTCCAAGCACCCACTTTCTCTCCCATATCACCAATTGTTATACCTTCCAAAGGTGTCTTCTTGGAATCACGGATTTGTATACAAAATGCATGCAATCCATAACATGTGTGGTTAGTGTAAAGCTGAGCAAAAATAATTGCATGGGTTGCATTCATGCCTATAAAAAAAGTAACTGGGAGAAAGTAATGTGAAAGAATGAAGAATTGGAAGCTATAAAATTGAAAAAGAAGAAAGGACAAAAGTAGTTATCAAAACGAAGGCAATAGTATCATTGATATAATAATTATAAGTATTAAGAGAAAATCAGCGCTTAAGAAGTAAGCAACATTGGTGAATACTGTCATGTTGGCTTGAAATAATAACATGATTATGAGTGATGGTATATCGAAGACTTCCATCATTCGATGGAAGTTTTCTACTCATTATTCGATCCTCTTAATATCGGTGAGAAAGGGATGATAGAAGAGAATAAAATTAGTAGAATAGAGACGAGCCTAAATTGCCTGCCCAACACTTGATTGCTTCATTATCCGGTGAGTGCATCACGAATTGGCCCTTGTCGTAATGGCATTCAGTACGGACTGAATTCGCGTCTGATCCATGCGACAGCTCCGTCAAGCAAAAGCAGCCAACAATCTCCAATTCGATGCAAAATAATAGCCACTTTGTTGAATATCAATAATGTTACCAACTGGTTATCTTTCTAGTTTTATTTCGATATAAATTGGAAATTGAAATAAACAATGGTACAAACGGTAGCGCAAGTCCATCTGTCCTTCTCCATGAATTTACAAATAGTGATGCAATAAGTTTTTTTAAATAGAAGGGACGATATGAAGACCTCATTGTTGATGCATTTCTCGAGTATTTGGTGATGACGACTTGTCCCCATTGATAACACTGTGATATAGAAGATTGCACTGATGTAGAATTTTGCTGCTAAACCTTGGTCATAACTTTCTAACACTTCCGCGAAGTCCACAAATATTTCAGGATCTGTTTTAAGCTATAATATCATTCATACTGTGATTGAAAAAACGAGGAGTTGAAAGTGCAATATTTATATACAAAAATGATAAGGTAAGGATACGTGCCATAACATGCTAAAATCACAGCATAAGTGAGAAAAGAAATTAATACACAGACTCCATCGAATGTGATGAAATTATATTCCAGAAGCTGTTTCCATCGTCGATCGCATATTTGGCGACTTTCATCCATCGTCAATGTTCGCCAGTCCCGAATAAAAACATTACTGGTACGGAGTTTTTCAAAGACCTTATCCTAAATTGCGCAGAAAAATATTTGTGACCATAAACCTCAAAATTTGCCATTAAGTTGTATGAAAATATTAATCTGAATTTGCTACGATTGAGTAATTTTAATTGAACATCATGCATTTTGAGAATTTCCATTTAGAGAAAAATTCAAATTTATAAAGTTTAGATTATAAGAATTATGGATGAAGTGATTTTTTTGACCTTCAGATAAAATCAGCTCCTCCCTTAACGTCCAATTGACATATGAATACTACTCAAATTATAAGATTCAAGCAATTCAAAACTATTTTTTTTTCATCAGAAAACTCCCTACTATTTACCTTAAACTTAATACTCTCCGAACCGTACAGCCATTCCTGCAGATCACGCCAATAGAATTTCGCCATTCGTCGATATTTCAATAAATCGTCATTTATTTCAAGAGCAGAATCTAACTGATATGGTATCATGAAAATCATGAAGATGCTTGGGAAACTTCCAGAGACGGGTTTCCTGAGAATTTAAGATCTAAACTTATCACTCAACATCAGAATCAATCGTACAGCCGTGCCCACTTGTTCTCCTAATCTCTTTGTTATATCTAATAATTAATGAAAAATATGATTAATCCTGGAGTAAAAACAAAACAAAATTTTATGAAATAATACATAACCAAAATGTCTGAGTCATAAGATATATTAAAAGATGTGGCTAAGGTTTAACAAATCATGAAATGGAGTGGCTGGGAGAAATAATTATCTCTCCGAGACTAAATTAGGCTCATTTTGCAGCACGTCTGAAATAAGAAAATCAGTTCAATTGAATGGAATATCACCATCACAATCAACCCTTTAACATTTCTTTTTGCATGGGATACATCTCTACC